GCAGAACTGGGGGGAGGGCTGAGGTGGGGCTGGGAGCGAAGGGCCCCAGCAGTGCTGAGGGGCTGGGAGCGAGGGGCCCTGGCAGAGCTGAAGGGCTGGCTGGGCCTGGGGGTGAGGGGCCCTGCCAGAGCCGGGGGGCGGGGCTCAGAATAAGCCAGGGGCAGTATGGAGCAGTCAGGTGCCCCCTGCTGGTGACAGAGGCTGGCACTGCCGGGCCTGGCTACCGCGGACACGGACCAAGTGCCTAGTCTCTGTTGCCAGCGCCGGCCAGCCCGGGGGTCCCGACGGGTCCTTACTTCTCTGCCTTGGCACCCTTCCTCCTCTTGGCCCGCACCGCGGGCTCCGCCAGCACCTGCTCGTCGGTGGCGACGATGTAGTCGTAGAAGCCCCGGTTGAACTGGCTGATGATGTGGCACCTGGAGTCCAAGCAGAGGCGTCAGTGAGAGCCGCAGGGACCCGCCCTGGAGGGCGACAGGCGCTGCCCTCCCTTCTTGGGGGGCTTGCCCAGCGCTATTAGGGTCCCAGTGGGTCCAGTGGCAGCTTGGGGCTGGCGAGTGCTAACCCTCAGTCAGGGCCTGTCCGCACTGCACGGTGTGTGTGGATCCACTGGGGATGAGGGAGGGCAGAGTGCCCGTCCCCTCCACACGGACAGCAGGGACCACCCCCCAATGGGCTGCCCTTCCCCACTCCCCAGGGGTCGTTCCCAACCCCCCAGGGCTCTTCCCCCCATGGACTGCATGGACCACCCCCCCGAACTCTCCTGCCCCAATGGGTCACCCCTCCCCACCCCCAGGGCTTGTTCCCCAGCTCACCGGGACTGCACGGGCAGCTCGGAGTTGAGCACGCAGGCCGGGATGCTGAACTGCTCCAGGAAGAGCTTGAGGCGATAGCCGCGCTCCACGGTGCTGACGAAGAGGATGGCCTTGCCCCGCACCAGCCCCAGCTTGAGCAGCGCGTAGAGCAGCAGGAACTTGTCCTCCTCACCCGCGCAGCGGATCTGGTACTGGCACAGCTGGGCCGCCTCCGGCAGCTGGGACTCCCGCAACTTCAGGGTCACCTGCAAGCGGGGCGGGGCTTAGCGCTCAGCCCAAACCCTGCCCCTTGGGGAGGGGGCCCAGCCCCCACGCAGCAGTGGGGCTGGGGGATCTCATTCCCCCCTCCAATCCCAGGGACCCCCAGGATAACAGGCCAGGATGGTTCAGTGAGGAGCCCGCCCCAAGGCCGCAGAGCAAAGCTGCCCAGAGCCATGGGGGAAGACGCCGAACCCGCCGAGCAGCCCCCAGGTCCCCCCTTACCGGGTTGTGCAGCACGAGCTCCTTCAGCGCCTGCACCTCCTCGCTGAAGGTGGCCGACATCAGAAAGCTCTGGTAGATCTTGGGGAAGTGGCTGCCAAGGAACCAGAGACCAGCTCAGAGCCTCCCCCCCGGCCCCGGAGCGACACCCCCCACGGGCTCAAGGAGAGGCTGGCCACCCTGCTGCCGAGGGCTCTGTCCACAGCCCAC